CGTTAGTTATACTCCTATGAGGTTCTTTCATTACAGCAGAATTCTACAATCCAAATTACTCATACAAATCCAAATGAATTAGTACAATGTACTACTTACTGTAAAATCTATTGCTATATATTTATGAATAGGATGTGTTACATTGCACAAGTCCTTGGAATAAAACTGGCTCTAATGGAGGAGACAGACTAAACTTCTGCGAATTTTTCCAAAGAAAATGTGTAAGCCTTGTTCTATAAATCCTGAATATGGATTATCAATTGCTCATGAATGCTAAAACACATTAGTTGGAAATAATACAAAATCCATTAACTATTCCAACATCAGATATAACTGTGGATTATTTTTGCCACTAATGAAAGCTAGTCTTCTAGTCTTTTTTAAAGTTTACACAGAGAATGGTCTCCTTATCCTGTCATCCTACAATCCTTATTTTGCTATACACAACTATCAGAATGATCTCTTAAAAACATAAATCCCATCATATCATGCTCTGTTTAAATCCTCTAATGGGCTGGTGAGAGTGTAAGGTGGAACAACTACTTTAGAAAATAGTTAGCATTACCCGGTAAAGCTAAAGATACACCTATCCCATGACCCAGCAATTACACCCCTACGTATCTACCCTAAACAGAAACTTATATGCATAAACTAGGAGACAAACATAAAAACGTTCACAATATAATATAACAGAGCCAAATAGGAAATAATCCAATTATCAACAAGAGAATGATTACATAAATTTTAGTCAATATTCATATAGAGGGCAATGGAATGAGTTACAACTACAGAAAAAAAGGATGAATTTCACACACATGTTGAGTGAGAGGCCAGACACAAAAATACACAGTGTTATTCCATTTATTAAAAAATCAAAAATGTGTAGTGTCCATTATAGTAGTATTAGAAGTTAGGAAGTGGTTGGAAGAAAGCACAAAGGGAGTTTCTGGGATGCTAGTCATGTTCTGTTTGTTTTTATCTGAGTGCTTGATACACAGGTATGTTCACTTTGTGGAAATTCATCAAGCTGTACACTTATCTATGCACTTTTCTACAGCTAACATTTACTTCAATGAAATGTTATTTTAAACACAAACACACTCTACTCCAAAACATGCCCTACACATATCTGGCTCTATTCATCTCTCCAAATACATTGGCCTCAAACAATTCAAGTTCATTAAATCTGCCAGTCTCCTTGCCCTAAACCGAGTATCCTTAACCAAACTAATTCATCCTTTGAGTCTCAGTTTGACTCATCTCCATCCAGAGGCCTTCCCTAACTTTCTAATCAAAACTGAATTCTCCAAATTTAGGTCTCAATGCTATGTAGTTTTACTTCATCATTTATTATAATTTGTGTATTTATTTAGCGCCTGACTCCCCAAATGAACTGTAAACTCCATGAGGACAACACCGCTCAAACCAAAGACTCCTTGCTCAACTAAACTCCTTGCTCAACACTGAAGACACAGTGGCCAGGGGCAGTATGTGGCATTACCTGTTGAATGTTAAATTAACTAAATTAAGTTAAATTAATCTTGAGTTTATGATAATAAAAAATAAATGAATATACAAAAGGAATGAGCTTAAAATTTGGCATGTTTGGTAAGACTAGCCTTCTCCTAGGAAGTTAGCATTGGTGCAGTAGCAAAGTCTAGAGCAAGGAATTTGCATTTTCCTAAATTCTGAGCTTGCTTCTTTGTTTTTATTAATCCTTTACTAACAAAAGGATTCTAATTTCAAGAAATCAACTAAAGAATCGCCAGATTAGTACTTCTGACGTATTCCAAAGACACAAACAGCAAATTTTCCTTTTGACAAGATTTAATCTTTCCTGGCAATATTACAAATAACAAACTCAGTTTTAATCAGAAAACTATTCTGAACTTAGAACAAAGAACATCCCAGATGGCACAAAGAACGGCACATGGACTTCCTTCCTAGTTAGCTTTCATACCTCTAGTTTTAAACTCAAAACTTGCTCAAAACGGTGTACTTTCTCCTAAGGGCTACAAATATGAGAATGTATAGCAGCTCAAAATTAGTCAACTGATATTTACTAATTATCAACTATATGCAAAACACTGAGCCAGCAAATGATGGAGTGGGGGGCCTGCTGTGGGAGGAGCAATTTATGAAAGGGTAGAAGATGGCAGTTTCAAATTTTGAATTATAAAATAGAAGCAGGAAAATAAAATTTAATTTTCTCAATCCCCCTTACTACTTCCCAGAGCTGCTTCCAGAAAAAAATGAGATTTGAAAACTGTAAAAATTATTTCATAGATAAAAGAAAATACTATGGTAGCTTCTTTCCACATACATATACTGAACACATAGAGCTGAACTTGGGATTTGAAAGCTGATATTACAAGATCAAATAATCAAAAATAACAAAATCAAAATTGCCACTAGTTAAAATGGTATAAAAGACTTAAGAATCACATAAAACTTCACAACTAACAACGTAACTGTAATTAAACAGTAAGTGTAATTTTGACACCATATGTAAAAATTGGAAATTCCTAGGCATTAAAAATAAGTAAAAACCATGTTATCCTCTATTATTTTCTGTATTCATGATGTATGTCATAACTAAAAATTAAGACTAGACTTACTTTTCCACACAATCAAAACACTGAGATTGGGAGAGATCAGAAGGTATATAAAAAAAAAACAACCCTAGTATAGCATACACAGAATAATAAAATGTTGAACAATAAACTACAGCACTTTGACAAGGTTAAGTTAATGACGCCATAAGAATTTAACATTGGGTTAACATCCAGTTTTTAATGTGTCCGCTAGGACACATCAAAAATTAACTAGTTTTATTAAAAGCCTCCAGAAAACTGAGGATGTCTCACATTTAACAAGTAGATAACAGAGAGCAAAATATCTGAGGAAAAACATCTATTTTGTTTTTTTCCTAAAAGATTCTCTACCCAAAATCTTGCTTCTAAAGTTTTTATTTCAAGATATGCATCTTCTATTTCAAATAAAAAGTCACAAAATTAAAATCTTTTAAAAATTATTCACAATCAAATTATACTTCCCCTGATTTATAAAGAGGGGGAAAAAATACAGAATTGTCAGAATGGTGAAGACTAGAAAAAGAAAAAAGAATAAAAACTGCATAAAGGGTTAGGATACATTAACAGACTTTTGCTGAAATTACAGAAGGCTGTTTGAGATCCTTTAAGAGAAAGACTACCAAATTCTTATGGAAAAGATATTTTCAAGTAAGCATTTAGAATATGGGATTTTCAGAAGAAATACTAGACAGTATTAGGCAATAAACAGGTTAAAATTTTTAGGTAGCCTTTAAATAACTAGAGAGTAATATATATGACTATTAAAATAACGTAGCAATTGTTTTTAGTTTCTAATAGTGGCCTATACCTCATATCACTGACTATAGGTTAATTTAAGATTTTTCACAGTTTGTAAACCTAACATTTAGCATTACCATCTAGCAAAATTACTTGTGGATATGTTAAAAGACACTTTTAAGCCTTCACTGAAGAAATTTCACTACATCCTGTGGAAGTAAAGAAATGCAACTCAAGGTGAGACGGAAGACAGGCTTTCAAAATTTATTCACTTAGCTCATACACAGCAATGAAACAGCAAATTTTCATACATAATTATTACACTTGTGTCCATTTCAGTGTTATAAAGCTTTACAATTTTGTTTGACGAGTAACTTGAAAATAAAAATTGCTCTTGAACATAATTCAAAAGCTTATTATAAGTAATAATTTTAAATGTAAGCAAAAAATAGGAGGGCCTTTTAAGTTTTCTTTGCAAATTATATTCAATTAAAGAAGGCTTCCTAGCCTGACTAGGCAAGATTCCCCCAATACTTCCTTCTTATCACAACTGTAATTAATTGTTCCACGCTAAACAATTACACAAATGTTTATCTCCCTCTGGACTGCAAACTACAAGAGAGAGCAAGGTCTGTTTCAGCCTTGCGCAGGGCCCGTGGATGCACCTAAGTAATTATTTGAATGAAAGAAAAAAGGCTTCAAATTGAAGAATGAACATGTCTGTCCTCGCTTTTTTTAAATTAAAACAACTCGACTTCTGACTTTAAAATTTACTTATTCGAAGTAATTAAAAAAAACAACCACCTAGCTTGGTCTTAAAGGCAAAAGTCTCGAGCAGTTTACTGAACCGGGTGAGCTATGGGAAGGCAGGTGCTATAAAGAGAGCACACAGTAGGCACATACGCTTGCCAATAAATGAATATTACCACAAAATGAGCCAGATGAGATCCAGTCTAGAGAAGACTGTCAACACAAGTTAAACGCCATCGTGCCCACGCTTGTGCTTCCCACTAACTGCGGTGAGAGTACTCTGATTTCCCTCCCTCCTCCGCTTCCTAGGCCATTTCAACATCTGAAAACAGTAAGTTTCCAGAAATGGCTTGATGAAGGAAATGAGAGCCAATGCTTAAGCCAGCGGGAACGAAACTAGTGTCTTTTGAATCAAAAACGTCCTCCCCTCCAACGTACTTTTCTTTTTCTCTCCCACTCTACAAGTGTCAACATCAAGGCTGAACTGGGGTCAGTAAATCGCAGAATGTCCCCACATGCAGTTTAAAAAAAAATCATGGAGTTTATCAAGCTTATGACACACTGGAAGAGAAGGATCAAATCCCCCGGAGTCCGGAACTGAGGGACTCTCGGGTCACCCCACCTGAAAAGCGAGGCTGCCCGGGAGGCGCAGAGAGACTGGCTACCTTGGAAGGGGAGGCGGCGGCGGGCCCCCACAAAGGCGGGGTTCGAGTACCCAGCCAGGGCCCCCACAGCCGGTCGAGGAACGCGAGCAGAGGCTCCGACATGGCCAGAAGAATGCACCACTACCCGCAGGTGCTCGGGCCTCGCCAAGACCGGGAAGAGGCGGCGAAGCCCGGTTCTTCCCCGACCCAGCGGCGGCCACAC